AAATGAGTGGTCTTTTTCTTCATTCCACCTCATGGAGAAGATGACTTGAAGGGCCACAGGAAGTTGTTTGCTTCTTTGAAGCATTTTCCGACAGTATCAATCTCATGAACAGACCCTCCATGCAGAGGATGACATATTTACCAAGAGATGGAGAGTCAGTGCACCATCTCTCAGGGCAGTTCATTTTGTATTGATTTTGCCATAACCGTGCTTTTAGATCAGTTCATTTACTGACTCTCCTCATAGCCATCAGGAGACAGGGACATTGTTTCACTCACTTTTGTGTTCCTAAACCCAGAAAAGTACTTGGTTCTGGGTAAGTATCATTGAATGACTTATTGAATATCAGAGCGATGAAGGGGGAAAACTCCACACATTCTCCCTAAGTAAAGAAAAACACAGTTTAGAAGCCAAGATGTGTCACCCAGCCGTGAAGCCGGTCTGTCACTAACGGAATCAGCCCTACCGCTGATGATGACATGTCAGGGTCTGCTTCTGTGGCCGGGAGACAACCCCAAGGAAGTCAGCTTTTCCGAGACGAAGAAGATTCAATGGCATTTATTAAATAGAAAGCACTACTGTAATCAGTGATGTGTTTTCCCTTAGCAATGATTGAGTGGAAAATGTCATGTTCTTAACATATGTGTATTGTCCAAGTAGACAGTTAGGATCAGTCAGAATACATCACAAATACGTTTTAATGAAGTTTTATTCAGTGGAGAAGGTGTTTACTGGGGAGTGGCTGTGCCTTGTTGGCCTGTTCCACCAGACTGAGATGATCAAGGTCTGTGCTTTGCCCTGTGGTTGCAGCACGAGCACAGCCCAGCTCCTGCCCTAAGGAGCTCAGAACCCCAAATGCTGGGAGAGGCAGCTGTCCTATTGCACTGTGGTTGATTCTAGAGGCATCTTTGTAGCACCAAGGATGCAAGAGGGTGATTCACTCTTCAACTGCCTGAGGGAGTAGCTGACAACTTAAGCTGACTGTTGAAGGCTGGATTTTTTTTTTTTCTTTTTTAGGAGTGTCAAGGACAGATGAAAGGGGAGGAAGGGTATTCTGAAAAGCTTAACATCTGCAAAGGCACAGAGGTGAGAGAAAGCATGAAGTTCTCTCGCTACAGGGGTGATTCCAAAATCTAACCAAGCATCAGGTCATAGGGGAGGACCACTTCAAAAAATGAGATTTTCAGCACATTCGTCCCAGAAATTCTAATTCAGGAAGTCTGGAGAGGAACCCAGGAGGGTGATTCTTTAAATTTCCCCTGATGGTTTGTGTTCTGCAGCCACAGACAGGGTCCAGTTTTTTGCAGATGTTCAGTGACTTACTTTGAAATGCTCAGCAGTGAGGTTTCTGTGGGGAGTTTGTGGCACCCTCTCTTTCTGTGGGAGGAGGTATCCCAGGACCCACAAAAATCGCACGTGCAGTATCTTGCCTGCTCACATACATGTCCAGATTAAAGCCGGTTAAAACCAGTGTCAGGTGGTATTGAGAAGAACATGAAACACTACAGCTGAGCACACAGTACGGACCCAGCCCACAGACTCCTGCTGGTGCTCTCCAAGTTCTTGGCCTCAGGACCCCTTCACTTTCAAAAGTTGTGGACCCTGAGAGCTTTTGTGTGGTATTAGAAATAAAAACATGTTAAAAATATCTGGGCCCTGGCTGGTGTAGCTCAGTGGATTGAGTGCAGGCTGCAAACCAAAGGTGGCTGGTTTGATTCCCAGTCAGGGCACGTGCCTGGGTTGCAGGCCAGATTCCCAGTAGGGGTCACACAAGCGGTAACCACACACTGATGTTTCTCTCCCTCTCTTTCTCCCTCCCTTCCTCTCTCTCTAAAAATAAATAAATACAATCTTTAAAAAAATACTAAAAATATTTGGTAATTCAAAAATATTACATATGAACATGAATAAGTTTTATGAAAAATACTTGCATTAAAATACATTTCCAAATAAAAATTAGTGAAAAGAATGACATTGTTTTACATTTTTGAAAATTTCTTTAATGTCTGAATTAAAAAGGCATTCATCTTGTTACGGTATCACATTATGTTTCCTCTGGGAAACTGCACTGAACTCCCTGAGAAAATGAGTGAAAAAAGCAAATAGCTTCTTAGTATTATGGAAATGGTTTTGACTTTGTAGCCACCTCCACAGAGTCCTGGGGTCTTCCCAGGGATTTCATCTCTTAAGGCCACCGAGCAGAGCACCCGCCACTCCCCACACACACTTACACCCTCACGGGGCCTGCGCTCCTGTGCTCGCCCACACGCCAGCCTCCCGGGCATCTCAGAACAAAGAATCTGAGGCGATCAGTACGGCGTTTCATTCTAAGAATTACTCTATTTGAAGCAGACTTTAAATAAGCATAGAGAAGGCACCTGTTTGTTGAAGGAACGAATGTTAAACATTTAAGCATCATGTACCTTAATTGGCTGATAAGGCTAGACATCTTTGCAGTCAGCCATTTAGAATCTGCGATTATTTCTAGAAAAGTTAATATTTGGAAGCTCATATTCCAGTTAAGGACTGCTCTAGATTGTGGTTAAGATTGTGAGCTCTGGACTCAAAGCTTAGTCTGAATTCCAGCTCCAGTACTTAGAGGGTTCGTGGACAAGAGACGTAACCCCTCAAAGCCTCAGTGTCCTCCACCTGTAAAGTGAGGAGGATAGAATTAAAGGTTCACAATTCCTTATATTTGATTCCAAAATTCAGAAACTTGTGAAAAAGGAAAATTTATATATAACTCACTGCATAGCTAAACTGGACCTGATTAATTTGGGAGCAAATTCTACCTTGAACGGATGTGAGGCTCTTTTTATTTATTTCACCTGCTAGGACTATTTGTATGTTTTGCTATAGAAATCTACAGTGTTTGATTATGAAGTACTGTCCTGTACCTTGCTTGGTTTGTATGTTATGAATGTTTCATAGTAAATCATGTATGTACTGAATCGGAAAACACGTCTGCCCCGGGATCTCATATAAGAGATTGAGGATGCATGTTATCACATCAGGGTTAGATGGGCTGATGCAGACCTGTTATGTTAGACTACTGCCTGGCACACGAAACCGTATTAGTTTTTGTTAAATAAACAGGTTCTATTTCCAAAGAAGCATAGAAACCACTAAATAGAAAAGAAATTACTTCATGTTGCAGGAACATTTTCACATCATTGAAAGGAGGGTTTTTGTTTCCTCTTTCACTCTCGATTAGGGCAGTCGGAAAAAGGGCAAGCTGCAGTTTTTCCTTCCGCGCATCGAGGAAAACAGTCACATTGGCGCACGTGTACCTTTCCTCTTACTGAGAAGGTGTGGAAGTTGCAGGCACTTCAGAGTAGTCATTCTGTTCATTTTCACGGAGCACCCACCTCCTGGGTGCCCGGCACTGGGGACAACACCTTAGTAGACAAGCCCAGGTCTTTGTCCTGAAGCTGCTCAGGGTCCAGTGGGAGAGAAACAGACCAGATGCCGTGCCAAATATTCAACTTTAACACCACCAACCCAGGAATGCCTGGAATTAGGGTTGCCAGATGAGTTCATTTGAATTTTTGGTAAACAACAAATAACTCTAGAATCATGTTCCACATATTGCATGGACGTACTTATACTAAGTGTGATATTTGTCCCATGCAATCTTTGGGACATACTTAGAACTGAAAAATTATTTATTTGAAATTCACATTTAACTGGGTAGTCTGTATTTCACTGGCTAAATTGGGCAACCCTAACCTATACACCTGGGCTATTTTCCGCCATATTGGCAATCTCTATGGAGGAAATACATGTTTCAGTCGTGTTGGATAGTGAAGATTTTTAAAGAGACTCTACAGAGGGAGAGGCGGGGTTGGGGAAACTAGGGGTGATGCGGGGCCTAGGGCTGGACGCAGTTACTTCCCTGGGCTCTAGGGGTTTCAAGAAGAGGGAGGGAAATGGAGAGGGCCGCCGTCAGAGAGCTGTGTTCCACCAGCAGAGACCCACTGTGAAGGAAATTGCAAAAAACAAAGCTTTGCTCTGCTCCCTCCCAATTTCACTCTGCCCCTGCTCTGCCATCTCCGGGGCGTGCCCCTCCCCATCCAGAAGTCAGAAGGCCCAGGGGGCAGCCTGGTGACCTCCACCCAGAAAGCCTGGTGGGCAGAATACGGAGGGGTGGGGAGTGGTGTGTGGAGAGAGAGCCAGCGCAGTGCTGTGGTGCACAGGACTGGGACAGCCTTGGATCTGAACTCTTCTCTGTTACATCAGGAATAAGCCAGGTGGAAGAGAGGGGGAGCAATGAAAGGGAAGAAAAGCACAACGGTCTGAAATTTGAAGGTTAAGGAAAAAAGTGAATCAGCACCACCAATGATTTTAATCAAAAGTAATTTTGCTTTTAGCACCACAATTTCTTGTATCAAGTTAATGGCTAGAACCGGAGCCCGGGGCCTTGTGTGCCTGCACTCACTGGGCCCTGGAAGTGAGTGCCTCCTCAGTGTGCGCCCTTGCACCCACCTGGCCGGGCACAGGCTTAGAGGTCGACCTGCCTCCTCCTTCAGGTGAGAGGGTGGAGTCCCCAGGAGTCTGGACCTTAGAGCCTTGCCCTGCCTCAGGCTGTCCCTGTCTGCACGAGAGCAAGGCAGGGCAAGCGGTGCTTGAACAAGTCCCCAGCCCGAAAGCTTACATTGTGCCAATGAAAACGGTTTATAACATGATGGCAATAACCAAGCAGCTGGTGAAGGGGTGATAGGAAGGGTATTTGATCCACTGGGCCACCACCAAAGTGTGGACTCCTTCTTCAGGACTCTTCAGATAAATGCCGAGTCACCATGGGAGAGGGCTTTCAGATGGACTGAGCACGTCAGGTGTTCACCACATGTGCACCAGGGTGTACGTGAGAATTAAAGATCACACACTGGTCATGGCACCTGTGCCCTGAAGCATTCAAAGTACATTCCACACTGTCTGAGCCCTGGAGTCAGTCTGTGCCTGCACGGGGCTGACTCCCCCTTTCTCCTGTCACATTGCAGTTCCCCAGGCCGGGCCTGCAGCAGACCCAGCAGCAGCAGCAGACAGCCGCCCTGGTGCGCCAGCTCCAGAAGCAGCTCTCCAGTAAGTACCCTCGGGAAATTCAGAGCCAGTGCACAAGCAGAACGCAAGTGCTGGCTCCTCAAAACTGCACTCCCTTCCATGACACCATTTAATTCATGGTTTAGTCTAAGACATTTTTGTTTTGTTTTTAGTTCAGTTGTAGTTTGAATGATACTTTGCCTAGAAAAATCCCCGATGTTTTTTTTTTTAATTTGTTTGTTTGTTTTTTAGTTCAGGGAAGCTGTTTTCCTGTTGGTTCCATCTGAACCTGGAAATGTTTCTTTTCATTTGGGGGACCCCTGCAGGCACCCTTTTTATAAAGCTGGAAGGGACAGAGACAGAGAACAACCCAGCAAATGCTTTTAAGTGCACTAATGAATGGGGTTGGGCAGCCTCCCGAAGGTCATAGATAGAGGGAGGCCAGCATTAGACCTGCCTCCTGGTCACTAGGGCTGGGACTGCTCTTACCACCGCGCCATAACAGCTTAGAGAAAGCAAAACCTGTACCGTCACCGGCAGCGTGGCAGGGTGGTGCTCTTCCCCAGTGCTCCTGCCTGCTATGTGGTGTGAGCTTTTTAAATCGTGCTGCCTCTCTTCAGTGCACACCACCCACCCATTTCAACCGACTCCCCTAGGTGCCGGTAGCGCGCTTCTGTCAACCCAGTCACCCTTGTGCTGCAGCCACGGGTCAGGAAATTCTTTTAGAAATGGGAGCCAGCCTTGCTGATGCAAAGCCTGAAACTCAGGAGACCTACTTTCCAGTGCCAAGTTTACCACCATTATCTAAATCCTGTAGTTCTCCATCCATGAAGTGAGAGTGAGGATGAGGGTAGCAGTTTCTTCTGGTCTCAGGATATGTGTCTGGAGCAGAGTTAAGAGTGGCTGGTCCTGAAGGTGGTCGTGTGACTAGCAGGATATTGTGAGGGAAAGGGTCAGCTTATGGCTGAGCGGCTGCGTGGCTTTCAGCTTTCTTCCCCGCCTGGCTGCCATCCACGCCCACCTCCTGGCAAATGGAACGCCCTCCTGTGTCTCATTTACCAGGGCATGGCCAAGACCTTATTTTTCCTTTAAAATATTTTCCTCTTATAGCCTCATTTAATTTCAATCCATCATTTTAATAGGCGTGGTCTTTGAAACAAACATGCAGTTAAAATTTCATTGTTTCATTAGTTCTAGAGTTTATATTTTTATATGGCTTAAAGAGACCATATAATTTTAAGGATGAGAAGGCATGGTTATGTTTTAGGTTTTTTTCTGGTGTTTAGGAATACGTACGTAGAATCTTTCCCTCGTCTTACCGAGTCAGGGAGACTGCTCTTGTTTCCTCTTTCTCAGCTCAGGAGATGCAGCTTCTGCTTTTTTCAGCCATTGTTTATGGAGCACTTTCTCGGATCCCGGAACTCTGACTTTCCATGTATGAATTCACTTGATCCCTAAGCCACCTCCCCCGCCTCTGCAATGAGACTAGGTACTGTCACTGTTTCAGTATTATAGATGAGGAGACAACTAAAGCATAGGGACATTGACTCATTCACCCAAGGTTACTCAGCTGACAGTAAGGGACAGAGCTGGGACTTGAACTCAGCCTCCTTCCAGAGCCCACTGTTAACCGCCATGCAGACACAGCTTGTTTTATTGCACTTAGCTGTACTGCGCTTCATAGGTTTACAAATGGAAGGCAAGACCCTCCACCACAAAAATGTCATGACTCTCTGTATCGCGGTGCTTTCTTTATTGTACTGGTCTGGAACCAAACCTGCAGTGCCTCCGAAGTGCTCTTGCATGTACCCTCCTGTCTGACACTAGCCGTTATGCCCACCTCCTTGGCTAATTAGCAACAGCTAAGCTGAGCCGCCCACACCACAACTCCAGAGGGCTCCTTTTCTGTCATGGACCATGTGACTGGGGCCTCTGGGTGCGAATAGTCCCACCAGAGCTGTTCAGGCAGTAGCTGTTTCTTTTTCTGTACGTGCTCTTTGCTGTGTGTGCGGGTGCATGTTCACACACAGGTATGTACATAGGCACGCACTTGAGTCAACACAAAGCTGCTCTGGTACATGCATACACTTGTGCACAATTCTTATGTCTTTCGGCCATTTGCAGAAAATTATCCAGTTTCAAGCTCTTACAATGTTCACATTTATGCAAAACTATCAGTGTGCTTTTATAAAAATCCTGAGAACTTTCAGTGCTTTCTGATACTTACAGTCCTTTTGTATGTGAGTATTGACTTGTTTCTCAGTTCAGAAATAGATACCAAACACCCTCATCCGAGCCGTTGTGTGTGCAGGGGCGGGACTTGGGTGTAGAGCTGGCCCTGCTGCAGAATGAAGTCAGATGCTGTGTTAATGCCCCTAGGGTCTCCAGGCCAGCACTGATCCCTGGCCAGTCAGTCAGGCTGGGACTGAGAACAGTGACAGGAGAGGTAGCATCTATTTGGAGCGTAAGTTTGCACCTGCCATTTTATTTGAATCTGTTTTTCTCACTAGGTAACCAGCCACAGCAAGGAGTGACTCCCTATGGGCACCCTCCACACTTCTGACTCGGGAAGAGGACAAGACAGGAAGTTTTATGTTCGCACTGAAAAACAGAATATCAAATGCAATGCATCAGTCATCTTTAGAAAGGTCCCTTTGTTCTTTCATTACTTCGAAGTTTTCTTCTGTTTTATGCTACACTTTGTACAAAGGCGTTTACACAAAGGCAGAGAAGGAGGCCTGGTTTGGTTTTGTTGCTTTCAGCTTTAAAGCAGGCTTACAAATGTGTACCCTGTGGGCCTACTTCAGGAAGAGTTTGGTAGCAGACTTTTTGAAACTGGTGCTTTTTTGAATCTCATAGGTATAGAAAGAATGAATTATGGTAGATATAAAATATTTATCTATCCATTAATTTTTTTTTTCATTTTCAAACTGTGCCGGACCAAACTACTGATTTGAAAGGCATGTCAGTTCTTGACTGAAAAGTGACCCATTTATTCTGCGTTCACCTTTGATGGTGAAATGGACATTTATTCGCCTCACTCTAATTTGAAATGTTTGTAATTTCATAAGCACTTTATGAACTTTGTTCCTATTTATGTAGGATTTTTCTTTGCTTTTGTTGTGGTCAAAAGGTGCTGAAACAGATTGTTGCTTAGTATTTAAACTTCTTAGACCAAGAACTTAAACTGAGGCTTCTATGAGAGCCACCCTAAGACATGTGGAAGCCCATTAGAAGTAGCTGTACTGAAGTGTGCAGTGGCCAGATCACTAACCAGAGTCTTTGTGAAGGTGCGGCCTGTAGGTTATAAGGGCCCAAATGAACCACGATGGAATTGTTCTAATTATTTATTGCTGGGTTTGGCAAAAATGACTCTGTCCACTTTTGGTTCTCCTGAACCTTATGCCAACTTGAGAAAAAGTCTCACAGTGGGCCTGAGACTCCACAGTGCTCCAATTTGACATGGTTTCCAGAGAATCTGGCCTCCAAGTCCAGAGGCTCTGGTTTTCTTAAAAGATGTATTTGCTGTTTATTTTGTATGGTAAGTATTTGCTATTTTGAATTTAATTATTAATATTGGTGTCATTCTTGGTTGTGTATTGCATATACTGTATTTATAAATTGGTGCAAAAAGCACAAGTAAAGTAAATTATACATCAAATTTATTATAAAGAAATAGTAACTATTTTAACTTTGTTCAAGTATGTGGTAATTTGCTCCTATTAGAGTAAAAAGAGACAGTAAATTATTATCAGTTTGTGTAACTTAAGAGTATTCCATATAATATTTTTTTAGATTTAGATGCATAAAATTTTGAATGTGAAAATTGCAGGGCATTTTAAAACATATGTGGGGGATTTTTTTCCCATGTTGTCTGTTAATTCACTTTCTTTTGCCATATGATTTTACATGTTACGTAGTCACACAGACTGTGAATAGATTCGTCTTGTAATGAGCAAACCATGTAGAACTACTTTTTTTCAATGTAACCAGTACAACTTTAGTCGATCACTTCTTTTGCAAAGCATCGTATAAATAATTTATATCTTCCTAGGTGGGTTACTCATTGCAAAGTTCAACTCACGCGAACAACCTCACGTGTGTGTCCGCTCCCTTTGCTCTGGCAGCATCCCCGTGACTGCTCTGTACACTGTGAAACTCTTCCGCTCCAGCCCACTCATTTCATGTTTACTCTGGGCTGGAAAAGACTTTGCCAAAACATTAAAGACCATTCTTTTCACTAAATTAACATATTCTATCTGCTTTCAGAAAAATGCATCTTTACATTTCAGCTGGTTTCGTATTATCAGGGTTTTATTTTTTCCCTCTTAAGAGTCATTCTTAGTGTTCACAAGGCTATTTTTCTTCAAGTAATGTATCCAGATAATGACTGCCTTGGCAAAACAACCGAATTGCGAATGTTGTGCCTAGTGAGTGAGTCATGTCCCGTCCTGATCGTTTTTGTTTTGTTTTGTTTTTAAGAGTCGTTGGCATTTAAAATGTCGGTTTTCAGTGTGAATCATATATTTCTGTAGCTCTGTATTGCAAACAGCAACAATACTGTTTCAAGAATGAGTGTTAAAATTGCATAGCATTTGTATGCACTTTATATTTGCAGAAGTCAGTGAAATTAATTTATTAATCATTTGCACTTGAAAGCTGTGGGTATGCATTTTTTGCTGTGTGTCCCTCTTTTTTAGGTGAGGAAGCTAAGTCCTAATAAGGCTGCAGAGTTTCTGTGGAAAGTTGAGGGAAAAACTAAAACTGGTTTTCCCCTATGCATTATGAAGACAGCAACTAGAAATTTTAATCTAGTTTTATCATATTAATTCTCACTTAACCCTCTATCCTAAGAGGCTTCCTTTTTTTTTTTTTTAGCAAATGCATTCATTTGCATTAAATGATCACAAGGGAAAGCCCTGTCCTTGGACAGAACCTAGTGATTTGCTTCCTGAAATAGAGAGGAAATTATCTTAAGGTGAATGGGAACCCCCACCCCCTTAAACAGAAGGCTCTGAAATAGAGTAGACTTGGATATGAGAGCCCTTAGACCTACCTGTTTACACTGCAGGCCTGTTCCTAGAAGAGTTACATATGTCATTTAATTCACTCCTCTTGGCCCAGAAGTGGAGGAAGATCACTGTTAGAATGAGTATCCTTTGACTTCTTGCAGCCACACGATCCCAGTGTCAGAGACGGTAGCAATCAGGCCCCCTGTTAGGTGGGGACAGCTGGAAATGGTGCGATGAACTCAGTGTCCGAACTGACTGACAAAGGCTAGCAGTTCTCGGTTTTGTGTACTGAGATAGCTGAGCAAGACCTATGGCATTTTCTTCTTTTTCACTTGTTAAGGCTCCTACAATTCTTCTTAAATAGTAGGTGAATATTTGAATAGATGGTGAAGAAATTACTCTAGAAAATCCCAGCCTCCACAGTTAGAAAAGATGAATCATCATGTACCCCAAGTTAATTCAGGTTGAGTTAATCATGTAATATAAATAATTCCAGTAAATCACAAAAGACAGCATTCTGTGTAGGGTTGAAGAAACTTAAGTACAGTGAAACTTCATGATATGATCGGATTGGAGCTTTCCCACTTACCTGTCACATGCAGGATTGCCACTTAACGGAGTAACGCGCTCATGAAGCAGTGACCCCTTCTCAGAACGCTTTCTTGTAACGGCTCCAAACCAGGGGTGCCTGAGCTAGATTTTGAAGTTACAGAGAAGTTTCATTGTGTTTTTAAAAACCTTTTTAATGGGTTTATTTGGACAAAGATGTAATCAACCCCCTTTTGGCATTTTATAATGTACAGGTATTAGGTTGCTTTTCCCATGTGGAAAAGTGAGCCTGCATTTATTTTTAAATGCAGTCATTAGAACATCTTTCTATTCCCCATCAGTGAAAATTTTCAGTGTGCACAAAATGTAAATCTTGATCAAAAAAGTTCAGTGCTTATTTTCTGTAGGCTTTAGTAAAATATTTATAAACCACAAAATATTTATATATTAAAATGATGAATTTACATCAACACTGCAAATCTGCTCTTTTCCATTGTTTCATTGTTGGTGCCATGCTTGTAACACTGACAGGAGGTGGACACTAGGCGACTGGTAATGAAAGAGGGAAGTCCATTCGATGGAGAATTCAGGTACATCAGCCATTTGTTGTTATCTAGTGGACAGTTTCTCTTAATGTTCATTGTTATTCGTTGGCAAAATAAAAGTGCCTTAAGTTAAAAATTTGCTTTGAGATTTATTAAAGAATTCAGTATCCGTTCATAATGCATTTATTTACCAGTCTTTTTTTTTTTGCATGTCCATGATAAATTTAATATTGTAAATGTATTAAAATTCATTTACATGCCTATGGCTGCCTTTGATTAAACTTCTTCCAAAAAAAATAAACTGTCTAGTTGTTGATTCCGTTACAAAAAATGTATTTCCTGTCAGATTACCTGCATGTAAGTCACTGCAGAGTCACTGCCAAGTGCGTTCTTCGCCGTGCATTTGTATATCCCAGAGTCTGAGGTTCGAGGATGCTGAATGACGAGGGTGCCTAGGGGGTGCAGAAGCTCAATTCCATGTGTCCTCCCTTTATTTGCCTCTGAGAGCTGGGAGTGGTCAGGCATCTCCCATGTGATTTCCGGCTTGGGGACTCCCAGGGCCACACAGTGGAGCCGAATGGCCGACCCTGTCTTCGTCAGGACGCTCCTGGGCGGGCGATTTGTGATTCGGGGAGCATAGGCAACAACCGCGACTGGAACACTGATCAGTGCGTGGCCAACGCTGTTTTGAGCCTTACAGATATAGTTTCCTCTGTCATAAGCCATTGCTTCTTTGATGACTAAGGTGCCATTTTCATGCAATATGTACTTTCCACTAACTTGAGGCCTGCCTATTACTTGACCACTTGGTAGAGTCCATTCGACGTTTGGCTTAGGGACTCCATCGGACACACAGTGCAGGGACAGAGACTCTCCACCGATGCAGTGAACTGTTCCTAATGCGTTCGTAAGGATAACTGGCTTCTGGCCAATTTCTAACACAATTAATTTCTCAATATAGCCAACTTTATTTCTTGCCCCACACCGGTATTTTCCTGCATCATCCCGGGTCATTTTAAAAATCATAAAAGACCCATTGCTTGCTATCAGATACTGAGAGTTTTGTGGTCTATTGGGAAATCGTGTGCCATTGGGTAAAATCCAGATTATTTCAGGTGGCGGGTTTCCATCAACAGAGCAGTTCAGTGCTGTGGACTTTCCAAGCTGGGCCACTGTTTTTTCATTAAATGGATTTCTGAATGTTGGTCTTCTCAGCATTTCCAATACTTCCAGCTGGACCACCAGCACACTCTCTCCCCCTTCATTCCGAGCCACACAGACAAACTCAGCTGAATCTGAAAGCCTCACATTTCTGATTTCCAAAGTTCCGTTTTTGTGGACTGTGACTCTGCTTCCGTAGTATGGCGCCGTGAGGAAAATGTTGTCTGGCATGACCCACATGATTTGAGGAGATGGTGTCCCTTCAGCTCTGCAATCAAAGTGTTTTTTGGAATGCCTCACGGCTGTGACTTTAATGACAGTTTTGTTTGTATACAGACCATTGATTAATGGAGGCTTGGAAACAACTTCCACTTTGTACCTTTTGGTGTCATCCCCACTGGGATTCCGGGCCACGCACAAGTACTCTCCAGAATCGAGCAGTTTGACTTTGCTGATGGACAAAGTCCCATTGGCGTGAATTGTGTACCTGTCTTTTGAGAATGAAATCCTGTCATTGGAAGGTAGCAGCCAAAATATTTTCGGTCTGGGTTCCCCAATGACCTCACAATCAAGGACAGCTGCGTCTCCAGCTTTGACTCTTACATTGGCCTTGTAACTCTGCTTGATCCGCGGGGCGGCCGTTATTACTGTTAGGTGGACCTTCATTTCATCCTTCCCTAGAGTGTTCTGGGCATAGCAAGTATAAGCTCCTTCCTCTGCTATCCCAACTCTGTTGAAATACAATGTCCCATTGTCGAAAAGGGTGTACCTCCTAGTACGCCAGCCACTGTCATCAGCTTGCATTGCATTGTTTACCATGGTTCCATCCGGCAAACTCCAAGATATCTTAGGCACTGGTGAGCCAGAAGCCTTGCAGTCCACTTGGAAATCTTTCCCATGAAATGCTTGCTTTTTAAAATGTTGCTTGTGATCAATTTTGGCAGGTTTCAGTTTTAGGCTAACATGCATCAGTATCAGGTCATCCCCTATTTTGTTTCTTGCCACACACAAGTAATCACCACCATCTTTTTCTGTTATTGATCCGATAAGCAGGGATCCATTTGGGTAGACATGGATTCGGCTGCCCATTCTAAGAAGAGAAGAGAACGACTTGAGTATGCAGCTGTTAGCAAGGGGCAGGGTGGAAGAGTTGTCTTACTGACATAGGGTTAGTTCTACGGACATTTTCTTAAATTGTGGCAATAAAAATCAGTGCTAGCTTATTTACTGTCTTCTAAACCATTTACTGAAAGATGAAATTATCTAACTGATTAAGTACAATGTAGTGCAAACAAATAGTATTTCTAAGATGGACTTCAAATGGATTTCCTTTACATAGTGAATTTTTAAAAAATTATAATGGTAGCCCTGGCTGATGTGGCTCAGTGAACTGAGTGCCGGCTTGTGAACTGAAAGGTCACCAGTTCAATTCCCAGTCAGGGCACATGCCTGGGTTGCAGGCCAAGTCCCCACTTGGGGACCTAATAAGAGGCAAACCTATATCTCTCACACACTGATGTTTCTCTCCCTCTCTTTCTCTCTTCCTTCCCCTCTCTAAAAGAAAAGTAAACAAAATAAAATTATAATGGTGAGGAGAATGCTAGAAGTTTTGGAGTCCTGGACACATGACTTTCTTGACCATTTTACATATCAAATGATCCTACTGTAATGTGTCAGTAAAGAAGAACTTTCATACATACTTAGAAAAGACACCAGATTATACTTTTTAGGGAGATATTAGTAAGAAAATGTTTAGGTTTTTTTCATTAAAATAAGTTCTAATTTGTTATAAAGAAAATGCCAATATAAGACTTACTGGAAGCTTGCTGTAGCATCTGCCCTTTGCAGGAGGCTATGAAGTGACTCTGGTTCTTGCACTGAACTGTGTGGAACTGCATTTTGCTCCCTGAAGCAAACTACCCAGCCTGCCCTTGTCGTGAGCCATCAGATGGCAGGTATTTCCTGTTAAAACTAAATCTAGTTTTTCAGAAAGATCAGTGGAAATTGAGTGGGTAGTAAAAACGTGATTAGAACACCTACAGATGAAAACCTATGTGTTTTTCTTCTAATTTTTTAGCATCGTGAACTAAGCAGGTAAGGGAACCTGGAGAGAAAAGTATGGACAGTCTTCCATAGTATAACTGCTAACCACGTCAAACAGTCTCGAGTCATCTTTTATTCTCCAGCAAACATATAAGAAGTATGGAAAGTATTGTAGTAGAACATTACAAAACATGCTGATGGCTTATTTCTTTTTAATTTTATTTTTTAAGTATGCAAGAGACTCTTCTGGTATGTAAACCAAGATAAAATCATAATAGATATGCTTGATAAAGGGATGGAGACTGCTGGGAACTTTGCATTTACTTTTAAATCTTTTGGTAGCTCCTTCACTCTTCAGCTTAAAAAACTGGTATGTAGAGAGGCTGTGTCACTTCAGGTCACAGGGCTGGCTCTCAAACCCTGTCTTCTGCACCACGCTGCACTGCCACCTGCTATCATTTTTGCCTAGTCCTTTCCAAAAGCACTGATTCTCGACCGTGCTCATTAAAATCAGTTGTGTAGTATAAAATCATGCTGTCTGGGTCCCACCTCTGGAATTTCTAACTTAAGTAGTGTGGAATGCGGCCATGGTGTTTGGGTTCCAGGATTTCCAAATGATTCTCATGTGTAGGGAAGTCGGAGAGCCACTGCTGTAAAGCCAGTGGTTCTCGATGCATGCCCTTCTCATGCATGTCCTTCATCGCCTGCATCAGAATTCAGTGGGGCCTCATTTAACATGCATCCCCATGTGCCTTGGAATTTATTTAAATACTTTAATTTCACAAAAGATAACTGGCATTCAATATTAATGAAATGCTTATAATTATTTGCGGGCGAAAAAATACTGAAATTATTAAACATGAAAACTGATAAAGCATTGAAAATATTTGATGCTGAAAATGGACTCATACATATAGTAAACTATCGTGTTATTTCTAAACTTTACATTTCGTAGCTCAGTATTTTTTTCATTTTATACCTAAATTTAATTAACATTTAGTCAAATAATTTTGATGCCTTATTGGAAAATTTGAAAATGAACATTTGAATTAAAGATCACAAATGAAATTCATTAATAACATTCAATGCCAACTTACAGTGTGACACTAGAAAAACCTATTCGGCTTATCAGCAGAAATATAAATTCATATCCAGTATGTTCAATGTGTCCTACATGGTATTTTTCATTAATGAAAAGCAAATATATAAAATATAATTACTCCCATCATTTTTGTCATAGAAAAATCATTGCATAAGGTCATGCAAATGGCAAAAATTAGTAACTCATAAGCCATAATTGTGACTTTTCAAAGATCAAACTACAGAAAACCGGATGAAGGCTAGCGTTAGTCAGCCTGCAGCGGGGCACGGGAGGCGGGGCGTGGGTCCCGGCCTGCCGGGGTGGGCGGGTCCTTCCTACCCGGCTTTGCCTTTGAGTGGTTCT